CACCACTCCAAAAGGGTCTTACTTTTGAAAGGGTGATGGCACCTTGTAGGTCTTGGCTCTACCGTATCGACTTCCCCCGTCCTTGGTATATAACTTAAAGAAAAAACAGAGGGCTTGTCCCACATCAACCATGCTAACTAAAATAGATGAATTGATTAATATGTAATCAATGTCCTTAGAATTATAACCAATAACAAAGCTACATTCACCATAAAAGTACATTAATAAATCTAGGTTTAACTAAAACCTAGCTTTCAAACTAGGCAAAGAATCATCTATTAAACTTCAAAAAAATTACCAAAAAAACTTGAGTTAACCCTTGTAACAAAATAAATCGTGAATTTTTAATTTTATCAATTTAAATTTTAATCTTTTAATTTGTCTACTCATTTTTGTTAAGTAAAATTGAAGAAAAAAAATATTTTAGTCATTAAACCTAACAGAAAAAAGTATTTTAGATACTACTTATATTGAGTTTAATGACTAAAATTATCCATTTTTATTGGTTTTACTTAACAAAAATAGGCAAATAATTTATATTGAAAATAATTCAAAGATTAGGATTTAAATCGATAAAATTAAAAATTCAATATTTATTTTATTACAAAAGTCAAATTTTGAGATTTTTGTATTTATTTATTTTCTTTTGGGGTAAATTTCTTCAATTATATTTGTTACCTATTTCTTTTTAAAATAAATATAATATAATCATCTTGCTATGATTATTCAATTGAGGTGAATTTTTATATGGATGATCATCATGAAATATCTTACAAAATGAGCAGTAACCATTGAAGTGGGCTTTATAATGGGCCCACGATGGCTCAACAGTACCACCTAGTTGAATTACTTAGCCGAAGAAAGCTTGATTAATAAAAAAATGGATTTGGGGATCCTACTGGAGTCTTACCCGAGGACTCTAATAAACTACAAACTAAATTGATGGGGTGTAGATTCCATATTTATATTTATAGTCATATCTCATTGTGAATATTGTGCAAAATATTTAATAATTCATTTAAAATCCTATTAGTAAAAATTATGTTGGGCCCAGATCGACGACAACCAAACAATAATCTTAAACTTAAAAAAAAAAAAAAAAACAGTCCATAGCTTTGATGACATGTTTTTCCAATGTTTTTTTTTTTTTGGTTTTTTCTGGGAGGATTTACAAAATAAACTCCAAGTTATTACTTCAGATTATTTTTAATTTTATACTTTTAAATTAATATCAATGTAAATCCTTTGTCAATTTACTAATTTTTTTATTTTAAGGTCAAGAAAAAGAGAAGATAAAAGTCTTTCTCCATCATAAGAAAAAAAATTATAGTCAACAAGATAACCTTTTAGCGGAAACAGTTGCAACTAGGGATGGTAATTTGAACCCGGCCCGACGGGGACCCGATCTCCCGACCCTGAATTAGGCGGTTTTTTTCCGAAAAATATCCCCAATGGGACGGGGATGGTATTTAAAAATTAATCCCCGATCACTTTCGGGCCGGGGACGGGGATAAGTGTCCCAGTCCCGTCCCCGTTAGTCCCTGAAATAAAATTACCATTTTACCCCTCCTATATATATAAACCCAACCCTCCTCTAACACTCACTGTGCGTCTCATTTCCCTTCCTTTACTTTCTCTCTCCCTTTCCCTCCCTCACTCACTCCGATTTCACCAAACCTCCTCTCACTCACACTCACTGGTCTCTCATCTCCGTCCCTCTTATTCTGTCTCTCCCTTTGCCTCACTCACTCTCAGAGTCACTGCGTCTCTCATCTCCCTCCGTCTTTCTCTTACTCTTACTCTTACTCTCTCTCTCCCTCTCCCTCACTCACTCTCATCATCGTCATCATCATCCAGATCCACCACCATAAAGCCATCGATCTGAATCATGAAGCCACCGAAGCATAGGAGCTAGGCTCAATCTCAGCTTAGACTTGTTTTGACAAGTAAAATTCATACAAAGCCGGTTTTTGGAGATAAGCCACTACTAATTCGATATTTCCTGGAGACGTTTCTTTGATTGACTGGAGTGTAGTTTTTGATTCTCTCTTCTTCTTTTTTTTTTTTTTTTTTTTTTTTTTTTTTTTTTTTTTTTTTTTTTTAAGTTGTTGATCGAGTGTTGTTCATATATAGATTACATTTTTTTGATGATTATTGTTGATGAACAAATTTGTTGTAGATCTGTTATTGAGAATTGGGAATTGCGTCTGTTGATGAACAAATTTGTGGTAGATCTGTTTTTGAATCTGTTTTTTCTTTTTTTTTTTAACTGGTTTTTGAATCTGTTGTTCAGAATTGAGAACCACGTCTCTCACCTCCCTCCCTCTTACATTTTTTTTTATTGTTGTTCTTGTGTGTGTTAGAACAGATCTGGCGGGGATTTTTCGGGGTCGGGGAAACCGATCCCCGTTAGGGGGCGGGGATGGTGGAGGAGATGGGTTCCCCGTCGGGGATCGGGGCCGGGGCAGGGGAGTTTTTTGTCATCGGGGATCGGGGACGGGGAGTGGCATCCCCGGTCCCGCCCCGCCCCGTTGCCATTCCTAGTTGCAACTCCAGAATTTTTGCTGAGTGGTGTCATTTTAAAATTAAAATTCTTTAAATCCTATAAAAAAATCAATTGTTATATCCCTTTGACTAAGTAGGACATAAAATTCTATATTATTCTTATGAAATTATATGTTTATTCCTTGCATAAAATTGTTATACAAACATAGAATTCACAATTAATATATAATGAATTGAAAAAAAAAATAAAATTAGATTGTCCTGAACTTTATACCACCCAAATAAAAAGTGCCATGAATTACACACACTCAAGTAATGGCTCGGCTAGCAATGCTATGCTCATTGACCATTTATATTATGTGCTCGTTTGGCATGTGGGTTTGGGTTAGGTCAGGATTATTTTAATTATAAAAAGATAAAATAGATTTTTTAATTTTAAATTAAAATTTGTCATATTCAAATCATAATTATTTTATTTTTTCTCCCATAAAAGTAAAAAAAGTCAAAAAAATCTATCCCAAAAGAGATTAAAATAGTTAAAAAATTAAAAAGTCAATTCACATTTCAAACGAAACCTATCATTTGATATGATACATTTTATTATCAAGGATACAACAAGTCCCATAAAAAAAAAAAAACATATACATAACAATTTTGTAAATAGTTATTTGTATTTTTCTTTAGAGAAATTTATTAAGAAAATAATTTTTCAAGTACGTGTATAACATATTTTTATATTTCAATCAGTCCTATCATTTGATATTTGATTATCAAATCTTAAGTATCTTATTTAAGATATTTTATGAATAATTTTATTTTTACAAATATTTTTTTGAATCCTTAGTAACTTGGTGTGCACTGTTTTGGACTATTTTATACTTTTTATATATTAAATTTTAAAATTTTATAATTTTGTTACACATATTGTTTTTGTGAAATTTATATTTTTGAAACTTAATTAATGAGATCTATCAAATAATATCTCACTTGAATCTGTAATTTTATAGAATAAAAATAAATAAATAAATTTGACAGCGTGAATACTCACATCATGGAACATTTACACTGTCAATATGAATATTAATGCTCACTTCATCCTATTATTATTCAGAATATCTTGATAATTATGTCATAGGACTTATTGGACTATAAACAAATAATTTAAACTATGTAAATGAAAAAAAAAATTATGAATAAATGTCCATTTTCTTTACCAGACTAAAGTTAGGCATCTGGTTATATGGTAAAACTTTCTCAAGCTCAAGCATCATGAATTCAATTTGGAAAATTTTTGAGTTTGAATAATAGAATTTTCAACTTGGCCACTTTGTCAAATTTATAAGCTCCAATTAAATTACAAGATTTTCAATTTCTATTATTAATATATACAAAATAATTTTTTTTATTATGTTTCATTTTGTAATTTTAAAATACATATTTTTTCAAGAAGTGCAACACATTATTTTATGACAATTAAAATTAAATTTCTTTTATTTTAAACTTTGGTAACTCAAATTTTGTTTATATGTTTGTATGTTTTTGAGATACACTCAAACTTGAGCTTAAATAAATAAAATAGGAGATATATAAATAACATTTAGGAAAAGTTGTAAATATAAAAAAATCAGAGTTTGAGAATTATAATAAAATAAATTTTAATTTTTAATTTTGTTAATTTAAATTCTAATATTTTAATTTATTTTCAATCTAAACCATCAACCTATGTCTCATAATTAAAACCGACAAGAAAAAAATATTTTAATTATTAAACTCAATGTAAGTATATATAAAATATTAAAAAAAAAATTTAAATCACTGAGTTTAATAGCTTACTTGGACATTGGTCCTAACGATGGGGCAAAATAGTATTTATTTAATCAAATTTTATTAATAAAAATATGTAGTTAGTTTAGTTTACAAATGAATTTTAATTAATAAAAGTAAAAATTTAAAATTTATTTTATTATAAAGTCAAACTTTGGAATTTTTTTTAAATTTCTCTTAATATTTATTATTATTATTATTATTGGGTGATTTATTGACCCACAACCTTTTGGGCAGTATCCACAACCCCTTTATCACTACGTAGGACCCACCCATTTGAGAGAGAGTATGAAATTCACATAAAATATACATCACATTTATATAAAATATTTGATAAAATTTTTAAATTATGTTTGGTATAAGATTTTTAATTATTTTAATTATAAAAAATAAAATACATTAAAAAATTAATAAAATAAAATATCACATTTAATTCATAATTATTTTATTTTCTTTTTATAAAAATTAAAAAATCTACCTCAAACAAAATATTTTAATCTCAAATTAAAATAATTAAAAAACTTAAAATATTAAAACACTGACTCAGATTCTAAACGAAAGCTTCTAACATTTTTATATGAAAAACGGACGATCACTAACCATGCCTTGTCTTTAACTATGCCTTCTTGATTTTCACGCTGAGAGAGAGGGGAGAGAGAGAGAGAGAGAGACTCTCTGATTACCCATTTGGCCATTTGAAGCATTTGACCCTACTCTCCTCTTGTTTAGCTTCAGGGAAATCAAGTTCTGGGTTTTGTTTTGATCTTCATAATCTCAAAATTAAGTACTGGGTTTTTAGTTTTATGTGAAGAAGTGAGGTCAGTGACGTTTGTTCACTTGAAATCTTGTTTCTGTAATGGACAAAAGAAAGAAAATAGTTTCTTGTTTGAATAAAGGTGTAGAGGTTTCGACCCAATTATTGGTGGAAAAGCCACTTCTACTTTTCATACTACCTCTGATATTAGTTGTTTGGGTTATTGAGAAATGGGTTTTCTCTTTCTCCAATTGGGTTCCTCTTGTGGTCACTGTCTGGGCAACTATCCAGGTAATTTTTCTCTAATTTCCAGTACTTTTGTTAAACAGCTAGTTGTGTTGTATTCATTTCATGGTACTCTGATCTTCCCTCATTTTGATAATGTGAATTTGTCTGATTGTTGGTGTGTGGTAATTGGATTTACTATTCTTCTATTTTCCTCTGTTTTTTTCCTTCTTTTGATTGGTTTGATTTTTTATTCAATACTCTTGCAATTATGATATGTTAATAAATATTAGGCCATTATGATGGCTACTTCAACTCCAAGTTTGATGTCTACTATTTCTCTCTCTCTGTTTCCTACTCTTGCTTCCATATCTACACTTCAATAATATGTGTATGTATATGCTAAATCCCACATATTTTTAGTTTGCTTTCTTTCCTCATAATATTATGAATTTGGTACTCATGATTTTTTGAGTTTACATTGACTGGTCTGATTGTTGGTTTGAGCTTTTGGTCTTCTCTTTTCCTCTTCTTTTTGATTGGTTTTATTTTTGATTCAAAACTCTTGCAATTATAATCTCTTAATGAATATTAGGCCCTTATGATTGGTACTCCAAGTTTGATGTCTGCTTTTGTGTGTGTGTGTGTCTTTCCTGCTCCTGTCTCTTGCTTCCATAGCTACCTTTTAATTATCTTTGTGTATATGTATGTATACGTATATTTTGTTTTCTTTCTCTCCTCATGATTTGCCAAATTCAGTAATATTAGGTGACGTGTTGAAACTTATAAAAGTTATAGGCTAGTGCACATCCCATGTGCCACTCCCCCCCTAAAAGTTACTTTTCTGATTCAGTTTCTTTTTGTAATTCTGAGGTAATTCTTATCCATTGGAGCTCAATGTCTGCAAGGAGTCGCTTTGACTGAATTTTCACCTCTTTAACATTGTTTCTCTTTAATAAGGATATTGTAGATTTATAGTTGTGGTAAAATTTGGTGCACTTTTCCAACTGAAGTTCTTTCAATGGAAAAATGGAGGTTACAATACAAGAGGCCATATTTTCATGTTAGGAAAACTTCTCAAATCCACAATGCATGATAAGGATTACAAAGCTCAGAACTTCTCAACTCCACCCCCAACAATACTGTCTCCGTGCTCCATAAAAGGCCCATCACAGTAAAATAAAGTGTAAAGTAAAAATACAAGATACCTTAAGACACAACTATTATATATTTGACACGTTTGACAGAAGCTTGTGTGCTAACTACTTTGTGGTGTTATAGAGCTCCACTAGATATAAGTTCAGCAATAGGTGCAGGCATTTAGTGAGATTCAACAGTGTTATTGGAGATTCAGTGGATGGGGGGAAGCAGAAATCTTTTGCCTTGTAAAATTGAATACATTGCAGACACAGAATTCATTGTATTGCTTGATTAAGTTTGTCTTGGAAGTTTGTATTTCTGATTTCACAATTTTTATGCTATTGTAAAAAGAACTCTACAATAGGTATCCCATTACAGTATTCTATGACGTTGTTTTTACTTGCTGTCTGTGAAGTGTAAATCACAGGTATGATTTCATTGGAGAAATTAACTCAATGTAGTTCGTATATGGTTTAGCTAGGCTACTCAATTGCGAGGGCCCCTATCTATACATAATGCATAGACGGGAGCACTATGTTGCATGATGAAAATGAAGATAAAGTTTTATGGTCTTTTACACTGTGTTTAGTTGGGGGATTTAGGAAGGAATTTGGAAAGGAAAAAGAAAAGGAAAAGGAAAAAAAGTAGGTGAAATGTGAATAAAATATACTTACATTTTACCTAGTTTCACATACCTTTTCCCTTTTCCTTTTCAAATCCCTCAACCCTATGAAGCACGGACACCTCTCCGAGGGCTCCGTACCAGTGTCGGACACGTGTCGGACACGGACACGCGTCGGACACGTGTCCGACACGCACTAGAGAGTGTCCAATTTTTTTTTTATTTTTTCCGAAGCCGGACACGTCCAAGACACGTTATGGACACTTTCGGACACGCACGGGGCCAATTTCAGAATTTAGAAAACATTTTTAGGGTCAATTTCAGAATTTATAAAATATTTTTGGGGTCAATCTGTAAAAAAGCAAAAAAAATTCTGTTTGCCCTAAATCAAAAGCCCTAAATCGATCTAAGAGGTTAGTAGAGAACAAAAAGAGAAAGAGAGAAGGCAGATAACAGAGGAGAAAGACAACCTGGTCGCTCGTCCGTCGCTTGTCATCGCTCGTCGCTCCTCGGCCGTCGCTCGTCGTCGTAAGGTACACCTTTCTCTCTCTCTGTGTCTGTCGAGGTCTCCTCTCTCTCTCTCTCTCTCTGAGTCTTCTTCTGGTCTTCTCCTCCGTCTTCGACTTCGGTTAAATTCACATTTTCTGATATTTATGGATTTTGTAATAGATGATAGTTATTGGTACATTGGATAATTTTATATTTTGTGGTTTGATTTTCATGCATTTTGTAACAATTGATGGTTGGTAGCTTCAAATGACATGTTATGTATTGATGGAATGCAATTTTATGTTATTTCAATGTTTTTTTAATTATTTTTTAATAATTTTATGACATATAATAAATAAAATTAATTATATATATTGAACGTGTCCCCAGCGTGTCGTGTCCCCCATTTTTTGAAAATTTGCGTGTCGGCGTGTCCGTGTCGTGTCGCGTGTCCGTGTCCGTGCTTCATAGCCTCAACCAAATATAGCATTAATGTAATTAGTTCCTAAATCACCCAAAAAATGTATTTTCTGAAAGATTGAGGGAAATGCAAAAACAGAAGACAATGAGTACCGAATTCCATTCCGTAAATAGTATATACATAAAAGCCATAATTAAGTATTGGTCCAATCCATGTGGGTGGGCCGATGTGTCAGAAGAGTTGACAGGTGCTCTTTGTGTAGACCTAACACTGACTTAATTTTCAAAGAGCACAAAATGCCCTTAATTCAAATATGCATTTGTACGTTTTCAAAATTTTACCATTGATGAGTCTGTTAGTTGGCAATTTCTTCTTTTCTTGTTTTGTTTTATTTTTTGTTTTTAGTTAAAGCAACATCATCTGAGTCAATATTACAAGTTGAGCATGAATCTTACTACTATTGTAAGAGATATGCCAACATCCAGGAACATGTCAGCCCTAATTCTTGCACTTTGATACATGGAAGCTTACTTTTCCATGTTGAAATATGCTTTTATTATGGAACATTCTTTCTTAGCCATTTTTGCAATATTTGGGAGCTATCTTGCAGAGCTTTTGAATATTAATTACTTGAATCCAAACCAGTAAACTGATATTTTGAGGTTCTTGTTCTTGCATTGCTTGTGACATTGGAATCAACCCTATAACAGAGTGTCTTGAAAATTGTTTGAAAATAAATAATTCATGTGCCTATGATAAAGTTTATTTATCTGTTCTTTTTATCTCTGTTGCTTTCCTCTTTTCCAGATGATCTGGATATCATTGAATGAAAGGATAGGATTATTATGGTAGATATTTAAATGCACTGACATAAAATTTCGTTCTTTTCATCTGCAGTATAGTAGTTATCAACGACAAATCCATGTAGAGGATTTGAATAGAAAATGGAAGCAAGTCATACTACACATGTCGGTGGGTTTTCTTTTCTTCAATTTTCTTTTGTTCAATCACATTTCAGTTGTTCTTCATCAAATTGATTTGCATCCTTTTGCATGTTTAAACAGCCAGTAACACCATTGGAGCCCTGTGAGTGGCTGAACAAGTTATTAATGGAAATTTGGCCAAACTACATTCACCCAAAGCTTTGCACGAGGTTCTCATCTATTGTCGAGGTGGTTGTATCGTCCTTTTTTCAATTGAAATTGATGAATGTTTTCAACGTTCTATCTAGATCGAAGGTGCAGTTTTAATTCATGCAGAAATCACTTACAGGGAAGAGAGTTATGGATGAGACAAAGAGAGGTGGTTTTATAACCATCTTCATCTACTCTTGACCTCTACTTTCGTCATCCTATATCTGAATGAGAAAATATGTGTATATTGTATATATAAATTTATGTGTGTATGAACGGATGCACTTACATACTGAAATAAACGAATAGATTTTCTCATTATAATCATTTGAGCTGATAAGATAGTTAACTTAATTCTTTTATGCCATATCTACGAATTCAATAAATGTTCATCTTCAATAGAAATAATTGAGAATAGAACAATATCCTTTCAGTTATTACCTACAAAATGATTAGACAATCACCGGTAGTCTAAATTTTAGTTGAATCCAGAGACATAAAATTAAAGATCTGTTGACTTTCAGATTTAGATTTATCATCATTCCAATTTTGCTTGTCTCAGGACATTCACTTGAGAGAAGGAGAATTAATCTATCTACATTATTTGCTCTGGCTTATCCTTTTTAGAAGCATATCTAGCCAATCTCTTGGGTGTAATGACTTATACATCAAATCACTTTTTAGTTCCAGAATACCCCTAGCTAGTTACAAATCCCTTGGTATTTGTCAGTTTATTTTCATTTTGTGCCATGTCTATCCCACTGTGTTATTCAACATACTGGATGATAATATCACTTTAGGATCCAATTACGAAACACCTGAAGGGACATCTAACTAACATAATTGTTTTTTTTTATAGCATTAAATATCTATTCTTGTAAAAATGTTTTCTTTTTATTGGAACTGGATCATTGAGGGCACTAAATGCAAGTCTATATTCTTTTTTCATTGTTATCTTCAATGTTCTATAAGAAGTTTATGAGTGTGATATAATTGATTTTTTTCCCATGCAGCAACGCTTGAAGTATCGAAAACCAAGGCTTATTGTGAGTTCTTTACCTTTGTTTATCTCATTGAACTGTACTTATAAATTGGCACTTACTATGTAATTACTTTCACTGAGAACAAGCTTTCTATTTTATAGGAAAGAATTCAATTGCAAGAATTTTCGCTAGGTTCACACCCTCCTAGCTTGGGGCGTCATGGTACTCGGTGGTCAACTTCTGGCAATCAGGTTTGGGTTCTGGTTTAGTAATGAAATTTTATGCTTACATACACTACTTTCTAAGTTTCTTTAGTTTATATCAAGAAATGCTTTTGGTGAAACATCATGAATAAGTATTTCCACATCTAACCTAGAGAGTTTATAACTATTATTTCAAGATGTAAACCTTTTACATTGACCAGAAGAGGGTTTATAACTATTATCTAATATGTAAGAAGGACAAAGGTATGGGATAGGTTTGTAACATGAATATGAGATTTCTTTAAGGAGTAACCTTTAGATAGCTGGAAAATTGTGATTGTATAGAATACAGACATGACATGACTTGATGAAAATGGTTAAAAAAACAAAAGACAAAAAAAGACAGGAATATCCTCATTAGTAGAACATATAACATTGGTCCTTTTCATACTACTAAAAAAAGGCAACCTAGTGCATGAGGCGTCTGCTAAAGTGGGGTTCGGGGAGGGTCCGATGTATGTAGCCTTGCCCTCATTTTTTGGGGACGACCTTTCAGTGACTCAAATTTGTGGTACCAAGGACGCTAATGGCAAGTCTTACGATTGGGCCATGCCACCCTTTTTCCATTTCATACCCCTAATTACCAAAATATTCTACTGCCGAGCTTTTTTGTGGTTCTGCTGCATAACTTTTTTGTGGTTCCTCGAGGTTAACTATTATGACCATTACACATTATGTTTTTTTTCATAAGCCTGCTACTCCTTTCTTTATCTTTTTCAAGTTTTTGTAAATGGAAGAAAGCTCATGGTTGTCAAACTGTATTTTGACAGCGAATCATGCGCTTGGGTTTTGATTGGGACTCTACTGACGTAAATATTCTGCTACTTGCTAAGTTGGCAAAGCCTTTAATGGGAACTGCCCGGATAGTCATAAACAGCATTCACATCGAGGGTGAAGTATGTAGTTTTCTTCTCTCTTTTTTACTTACCTTTTATATCTAAAATTCTCAGTTATCGTTCTTCTCTTTTTGGTAAATGAAGAATTAAAGTCACATCTATGAAATTGAAGAACTAGTAATTGTTCTTTGCCACCACTAGTGTAAATCAGGTAATGTTACAGGCTCAACTCCTCATTCACATAGTGAAAAGGGGGGAAATAAAAAATAAATAAAGAATTTTTTTTTTTTGTTGTTGTTTTTTGGGAAGTGGAAATTAGATCAATAAAATTTCTAAATTAATTAACTAAACTATGCTAGTTGATATTATGTTTCGTTCTGTTTATATCTGTGTGTGTATTAGTGGTGGACATATGGAAATGTTATTTTAAAGGGACAGGAGTTTTTTTTTAAAAAAAAATCCTGTTACCTAGTTCCAAGTACAATATTGACATGAATATCTGCCTGATATAGTGAAGAGCATGTATGTAAGACTCTCTCTAGCTATAATTTGATATAGTGTTTTCATCTAGGCTCTGTTACATTCAGACACTTGGGCTATTAAAGCATGGGAACATGAGTTAAATTTGATGTTATTCATTTCATTCAAATAATACCAGAGCTTTGCTTAGCACTCTCAATCTACTCCTAGTGCCTTGCTTTTGGGGATTGGGACCTACATTAGGTAATAGACTTAACTTTAGATGTGTTTACTAGCAGAATTGTGGTACTCGAGGTGTTACGGGATAACTTAACACTGGCAGGGCTCATAACATGGAAATGCTGTTTTTTATGACTACAATTTGTAGTACAATAAATTTTATTTATCAAAAAAAAATTTGAAAGTACCATAAATTTAGCACATTGATGCTTAAAATGTTTTAAAAATTTGAACATTAATATTAGTAAAAACTTCAAAAAGAAAAAGAAAAAACCCATTAAAATAAGAATTCAATGTTATTAAGCAGTGATACTAGCCAACCAGTATCTAGCACATTGATGCTTAAATTTTTATTTTTAAAATTTTTCTCCTGTTATGATTTACAGCTTCTCTTGATGCCAGTTTTGGATGGAAAAGCAATTTTGTACTCATTTTTATCAGCTCCTGAGGTAAGAATAGGTGTTGCATTTGGCAGTGGTGGAAGTCAATCTCTACCTGCAACTGAATTGCCAGGTGTTTCCTCGTGGCTGGTATGTTTCTGAATCAATAAAATTTGAAAGAGAAAAATGTACTTTACATGAAAGTCACAATTTTATAATTTGTTCTCTTTTGAAGCATAATATTTATTTTCTTGCAACTGAATTTGGCAACTCGTTAGTTTTGGTGTATAGACTACAATATTAAAAATATTATTTTACAAAAAATGGTTTCCAATAAATCTTGTTCATTCTTGGAGCACACAAAAATTGATTTTCCAGAAACAAATCATATTATTTCCCATGCTAAAGAGGAAACTTGCTTTTAGTATGCTTTGTTTGGTTGTTGAGAGGGGGTGAAAGAGGAGATAAAATGAATCTTGGGAAAGGTAAAACCACTTGGTGTTGGAGTTGGTAGTTGCTAGATTATGAGTTCCTTTCCATTTTCAATCTAAGCTTTTATTATGACTACAAAACTTTATTATTAGTATTTCCAATTGAAAAATGGTATGTGTCACCAATATTTTGGCACCTTTAGTATCACTCACCTACGTGGGTACTTATGATTGGTTTTCTTGTTTGAAAATAATTATTAAGGAATTAATGATAGCCAGTAATATCTTGCCATGTACCCAGGTGATATATAGCAGTCCTCTTTCCAATTTTATAGGCCTTACGGTGTGTTTGGATCATGGATTTGTATAGGGATTTGGAAAGGGAAATTTAAAGAGAAATGGAGAAAAAATTTAACTTATATTTCATTCACCTTTTCATTCTCCTTTTTCCTTTCCAAATCCTTATCCAATTCCATTATCTAAACACAGCCATAGGGAAGTTGCTTTTTTGTGAGTGAAAAAGTTCGAGTTGTTTTTTGGCTTGTTTAGCTGATGACTTTTTGGCTTTTTAGCCAAAAACAAATTTTTAGCTGCATCCCAAACTCACTTTTAGTTCATCTCATCTTATGACTTAAAACTCCAGAAAGAGTAGGTAATCACTATTGTTGCGAGTGTTATACACACCTAAGTTAATTTGACTTTGAAGACAGTTGAATATTTTCCACTCTTTATCTTTATTTTTGTTCTTTGAATGGCTAATTTCTAACCTAGATTACTGATGCATCTTGTTCTCCTTGTCACAGAAGAAACTCTTCACTGACACTATAAATAAGACAATGGTTGAACCTCACTGTCGGTGTTATCCTTTGCCACCTGTAGACTTCAGGAAAAAGGTTGTTGGTGGGATAATCCATGTGACGGTTATTTCAGCGAGCAAACTTTCCAGGAGTAACATTAAGGGAAGCCCTTCTAGAAGGCAACAGAGTGCATTGATAGATGGTAGGTTAGAAGAGTTCCATGATAATAAAGATCTGCAGACATTTGTAGAAGTTGAACTTGAAGAACTAACCAGGAGGACTAGTGTCAAACCGGGATCAAGCCCTAAATGGGACTCAATGTTCAATATGGTTTTACACAAAGATTCAGGAATTCTCAGATTCAATCTCTATGAATGTACACCTGGGAGTGTGAAGTTCGACTATCTAACAAGCTGTGAAATTAAGGTATTGCCATTTATGATGCTGACTTTTGTCTCCAATTTGACACCATTGACCATGGCTTCAAACGTGTCATCTTATGTGGTTACTTGTATTTGAATGATGCAATTAATGTGCACTATGATGGTTTGTATCACGTATTAATGACAAATAAAAGCACAGTAATCTAAACCACAAAAATGAATGGCACAATTTTCATTTCATTGAATGGACTTGGAATGGTGGATAATATCTCATTATGAAACATCTTGCTCTTCAGTTTTATTTTGAAGCAAACGACATTACAAGAAAAGCATGCCATGGGCTGTCATGCATGTACAACATCTGCATGCCACGTGGCGTGTCAATTTTTTTAATTATCAGTATTTTGAAGGACACATTGGGGGACACTTTATGGACACATGTGTCTAGTGTTTGGACATGCCTCAGGACACCTTTAAAGTTTTTTTTTTAAAATAATTTTACAAAGCGTATTTGGAGTCCAAGTAAAAGATATGGGAATAAAGAGCAAAAAAGTAGAAAATAATAAAAATAGACCCACATATACGCCGATGCCTCTCATATCTATGTATCCCATATCCATAGGAAATAAAAATACTTTTTTTTGTGTTTTTTGTGTCCACGCCATGTCCATCTCAATATCCTTGTCCTGTGCTTCTTATCCTGCTGTGTTAGATTTACTGTTTCTTCTTTTTTGATGTTACTCTATCCTTTCTGAAAGTTATTGATATGCATTCTCTTGTCCAATGAGCAGATGAAATATGTTAGAGATGATTCCACAATATTTTGGGCAATAGGACCTGAATCTAGTGTGATGGCAAAGCACGCCGAGTTTTGTGGAAAAGAAGTCGAAATGGCTGTTCCATTTGAGGGACTTAGTTCTGCAAAGGTATGAGCTACTTTTCCCTCACTAATCAGTGACTGACTTTGGATTAGAGTTGTGTCACCAGTTGCTATAAATCAGTGATAACTCTTCTTGCTGATGATTACACAATTTAACAGCTAGCCTATCAAATGGTTATTAAAACTGAGAGTTTTTGGTTGAAATGAACTTTTGCAGTTGACGGTGAAACTCGTCTTGAAAGAATGGCAATTTTGTGATGGTTCACATAGCTTGAGCGACATCGGTCTCAGCACTCGGCAATCGCTAAATGGGTCATCAAATTTTCAGCCTAGTACTGGAAGAAAAATTTATGTAACTGTTGTTGAAGGGAAGGACCTTATGATAAAAGACAAATTTGGGAAGTCTGAACCTTATGTTAGCTTGCAGTATGGGAAGGTAAATCTCTCTTTTTCAATTAATATTTATTATGGGGTCGAAATTGTTGTATCTATAGATTTGTAACCTGAACAAATTACTTGCTGGGATAACATAACAATTCAACTCTAACAATGCTTGAACGTTCATTTCAGGCTCTCCAGAGAACAAGATCTGCCTCACATACTTCAAATCCTGTCTGGAATCACAAGTTTGAATTTGATGAGATAGGTGGTGGTGAATATCTTAAGATAAAATGCCACAGAGAAGAAACCTTCATAGATGACAGTATTGGTAGTGCACGAATAAATTTAGAAGGACTTGTTGAGGGGTTGAGGGATGTGTGGGTACCCCTTGAAAAAGTCAATTCTGGAGAACTGCGATTTCAAATAGAAGCAGTGAGAACCGATGACTTTGAAGGATCCAGGGTATGCTTTTAGAAGCATCTTATCATGTTGTCAATGATTAAATTATGAAGTAATGGTAGGCAAAACTAATAAAAAAAGGCCTATCACAAAAATCTGTGTGTACCTTTCTGTGTACGTTTTCATGTGTGTCTTTGCTAGATGTGGTAATTCAAAGCATGGTTCACCCAGGGTCCGAGCCATGCTCAATAAGAGCCTGCCCAAGTCCATCCAATTTCACTTGTATTGTTTGTGTGCATTTGTGATTTGGTGTCCCTTAAGCTTAATAATATATTGAAGATTAATTCACTTGGTATGTTTGTTCAGGGTGCAAATGTCGGTTCAAGCAATGGCTGGATTGAACTTGTTCTCATCGAAGCAAAAGACCTTGTTGCTGCTGATCTCAGAGGAACAAGTGATCCATTTGTGAGGGTACAATATGGAAATATGAAGAGAAGAACAAAGGTTAGCAACACCATAGTTATTCATATAATAATTTTGTTACAATATGGAAATCTTTACGAATAATTGACCCAAGATAATAAAAAGCCGTCATTCTTACGTGTCTCCTGCCATTTAAGTTCTAGCCTTTTTAACTGATACTCCTTTCTTTTCTAAATCTCTCTACATTCTCTATCTAAGAACCCCATTACATGTTTTTTTCTAGCTCTATATTTTTTTTGATACCGTTGCTTAATGCTTTTACCTTGCCTTGTAGATTATGGATAGAACTCTGAATCCTAAGTGGCATCAGACCTTAGAATTCCCCGATGACGGTAGTTCGCTGGTGTTGCATGTGAAAGATCATAACGCCGTGCTGCCAGAATCTAGCATTGGTGATTGCATTGTTGAATATCAAAGATTGCCTCCGAACGAAATGTCTGACAAGTGGATACCCCTTCAAGGTGTGAAAAGGGGAGAGATCCATATTCAAGTTACAAGAAAGGTTCCAGAACTAGGGAAGAGATCTAGTTTGGAATCGGAATCATCTGCAACTAAAGCCCACGAAATTTCTGGCCAGGTGAGTATGTTTTGCGGGTTTAGGATAATCATTTCATGCGTAATTTAGTGCCATGACTCATCGTTGCAATTTAAAAATTTCTGAGCTTTTTTCATAACAATTGAAAATATGCCTGAAATATAATCAAACAGGGCTGAGTTTTGATGTAATATCGGACCAACAGCAAATTTTGTGTAATATCATACCATTCCTTATTGACAAGATATGTTGGTTTTCTCTAACATGCATAAAATTTATGTTTATCAGATCATCAAGAAAAAGGGGAAAGAAAAAAAAGAAAAGAAAAGATTATCATGCTTAATTTTCCTGTTCTAAAGTTCAGTCTGGATCATTAACAATATTCTTGTAGTTTGCACCAGCATTTTGCTGCATCTATCATGATTTTTTTCCTGAAAGTGACCAAGGTAGACCAGTTTTTTTCTCACAAACTGTTTGGCATTGTTTTTGTTTTCATTATTTTCAATTTTCGTGTTTTCAAACAAAAACAATACTAAAAATCTTGAAAACACCCACTGAAAACAGTGGTCGATATCGAAAACAACTTGGTTTTCCTAAACAGTGGTTGCTTTCAGGAAAAAAAATTTCAAAAACAGTTTTGGGAAACAATTTTCCAAACAAGATCAGAAAACAAAAGTGATACTAAACAGACATTCTGTACGTTCACTCATTGTTGTTCCTTTTTTTTTGTTTTCGTTTTCCCTACGCTTCATGATTAATCCATCACTTACTGCTGCATAATTTTTGTCTTAAAATTCTGTTCAAAATCTGTTTTTGGCAGATGAAACAATTGATGATCAAATTACATTCTCTAGCCGAAGATGGGAATCTTGATGGACTCTCTGAATTGTTGAGTAAGCTCAAAAGCCTCCACGATATGCAAGAAGAGTACTTGGCGCAGCTGGAGACTGAGCAGACGCTTTTACTCACCAAGATCAATGAGCTTGGCCAAGAAATCTTGTACTCATCGCCGGCTCTGAGCACAAAATCTTCCCCTGATTGAACCCTCATTACAAATGCTGATCTCAACAGTCCTTCCTCATTCAGTATAGTTTTACTAACAAAAAAGCTTGTATTAATAGGAAAAATACATATATAGTTCTATAATCCATTGAGTCATTGTTGTTGAAGCCATCATGCTGTGTAAATGTGCTCATGTAGAAGTATGTATGAATTTTGAGCAATGAATGAAAAGATTAGAGTGGATTTAACTAGTTTATATCTCGGACTTGCTAGAATTAAGAAGTGTTTCCTGTTGCTTCGTTAATCAAGGGATGAAATGGATTGGAATGAAATGTTCATTTTAATTACTCATTTCGTTTTCTTGTTTGGTACACTTGCATTCAAATGAGATTTTGCTTCGAATATATTCAGAAATTAAAAAATTACATATAAAGGAATTTTAGGAAGTTGCAAATGTCACCATTTTTATGGTGTCACGCAAATTAGTTCGTTTGACAGATTTATCCTCATTCCTCTGCTCTCTTATTTGCCCTCATACTCTGATTGCCCTCATACTCTCTCATGCTCTTATAGAAAGGGTTATTGTTGTGCCCCTTAATGGTTGCACCTATCTCCATGATTCAAATTATTCTTTTTGTAAAACTTATTAAGCATATTATTTATGTAAAACATTTGTTTAATCACATCAGTACTTACATGATTAGATTATATTTATCTTAAAAAATATATATTATCAATTTTTAAAGATGAATGTGATCGAACTATGTGATTACAAATATTCGGTCAATTTAATTTTCGTATAGATAATCTGCTCAACGAACCCATAAACTAATAGCCAAATCCCGTCAAAACTTTATGGCCAAATTTTACTCTCTTCCCATTTTTTGCAATTCCCCTATAGCCAAAGTTTGCTGTTGCTGCTGCTGTATTGTTGCTGGTTTTAATCAGTATTGTTGCTGCTTTGTTGCACAGCTGCTGTCTTCTTGTTCTGTTTTTACCTTGCTTTGGTTGCTTTTGATTGGTTTTTCACCAATCTCACCAATCTTAGATCTAGTGCTAACAAATGATTGTACTTCGTTTGCAGTGCCAAGCTAATTGGGATCGTTGAGGTTAACTATGATGCTTAGTGCATTCCTCTGCTTTGTTTATGTAAATTTTGCATGTATTATGCTTTTCATCAATAAAAGCTTTATTTTGTTAATAAAAAAAAAAAAAAGCCAAAGTTTGCAAGTGCAATTTGAATTTTTATGTCTTATATTCTTTATTTCCATTCAAATTTGAAAAACCAAATTTTTTTATTTACATAATTGTTTTGAATTCAACTTATAATTTTCAAAACCAAAATGCATATGTAACATCATTTGGGATAGGAGAACTTGAGGAAGCATTTTTTTTTTGTCGATTCTCTTGTTCCCAAGTTATGGCCTTTGATGTAAAATATAATATATATATATATATATTTTGATGAATCTAGAAGAAAGGCACTACAACAAAAAGTAGATTTCGCGACTAAAATTGAATTTTTCGTCGCTGAAAGTAGTAGAATTGGCGACTAAAGTGGAATTAGTCGCCAAAATTGATCACTTTTTCCGACTAAAAGAGTTTAGTCGCCGAATATAAGGGTTTTAGTGACTAAAAGTCAGTTTAGTCGCCGAATATAGGGGTTTTAGCGACTAAAGATTAGTAGTTAAAAACAGTCAATTGGCAACTAAAATTTAATTTAGTAGCCAAAAGGGGACGTTTTTGGCGACTAAAAACAGGTTTAGTCGCCAAAACTGGTTTTTTTAGACGGGAATGAATTTTTTTAGCGACTAAAAACTAATTAGTAGCCAAAACTATACAATTGGCGACTAAAAAATAGATTTAGTCGCCAAAAGTGATCTAATTTATTTTTTAGTAAATAATTTATTTTTTACATAAATTATATTGAATACAAATAATTATTTATATATATATATAGTTTTGTATAAATACCGGTCAAAGTAATATATAAATAATATATGTTGCAATTATATTCATGTGATGTTGTAGTGGCATAGTAGGGAGAGTGTGTTGGTAAAGGTTTGGAATGTGGGATGAGTTGGTGGTTCAAATCTTGGGAACAGCAGAGGGTAAATTTTTGTCAGCAAATGTATAAATTAAAAAAAAATAATTCACTATTAGTGACTAAAAGATTAGTCGCTAAATGTATAATTTTCAAAAATGTAATTGACTATTGGCGACAAATTCTTTGGTCGCTGAAGACTAAAACTTTGCCGACTAAAATTTTTTTAGTCGCCAATACCTCTGCCGACCATCTATTCGCGACAAAACCGGCGACTAAAATATTTAGTCGGGGAAAGTGAAAAGTCGACTTTTGGTAACTAAAAAAAGACTTTGGCGACTAAAAATTTAGCCGCCAAAGGTGTTTTTTCTTGTAGTGAGGATAGATAGAGAGTTTTCCCTAGGGAGCATCTAATTACGCCAACTTACATTTATTACACATTTGAACTTACAAGTAGTGGTATGAGCTTTGCCCCATTACCAAATGTTACAATGCAAGAGGTTTCAACAAGTCATTTTTTTTTTCAATTTCTTTTTACCCAATTGAAAGATAAATTGCGAGAAAACAAGTTTACAAGCAGTTAGTTAATTTCTCACTCTTTAGATAAAAAGCTTCACCAAACAGAGTCCAAATTGAATGGTTGCTCTTGAGACTGTTGCGGCGCTGAATCTAAAACCCTAGATGAAGAAGCCGAGAAATTTGAACTAAGATCATTTCCAAACTGAGCCATTCCTTGTAGTTGTGGCACAAAAGAGGGCTCACTATTTATAGCTTCTCTTGTTGATTGTTGATAACTCCTAAGTTGAAATGCCCTAAGAAGCAAAGCATTCATTGAGAGATTTGATGAGCCTAGAAAGCTAGAGGGCCATGAGAGTGAAGGAAAATTAGGGTTTGGGGCTTCTCTTGTTGCTGGCCAATTCATGTTCAAGTTCATGTTCATGTTGCCATTGTTTTCGCCGTTGTAGTTTTGCAGCGACATGTTGCTTATTGTGCTTGATGAGTTCAAATTGGGAAGTTCAAAATCTCCAAATTCATTTGGCATTGTGGTAGTGTCACAAGGAGAGTCAGGAGATGGTTGTGAGGATGCTGTTTGTTGTGGTCTCTTCATTGCTGATGAGCTCTTTTGGAAGACCCTACAGACCACCCATTCATCCTAAACAATTAAACACTTTTCATGAGTCAATGAGCTTGCTAGGGTTACCAAATGAAGTATTTCACTCAAGACATCAAGAGCATCGTCTTAGATATTGGCCTATATTTATTGAGTTTTTGTTCAGTCAATATCAATATACTATTGATAATGAAAATCACATGCATATGGGATGATTCTTACTGTGACCGGTTCAGCTTCTATAAAGTCTTTATTTTTTAAGCAGTTGGTAATTTAAAATAATAAAAAAAAAGATGGTGAATTATACGTGTGCCTTGTAATTTATTTTTTGTGTCAATTTGAATCTTGTGGTTATATTTCTCTTTAATTTTTACATCGTGTCGTTTTAGTTCAATTTTTTTTTCCCAGTAATTTAGGTTAATCCAATTCAATTGATAACATTTATTAAGTAATTGGATAAAAATTAAGGGCAAAATAATTCATTCAAAAGGATAATAGTCCATTTTGATTAGACGTCAATCTCTTAATCACTTTGGAAAAAGTAAATAGATTATTTTGCCTCTTGACTTTAATCAATCTTCTAAAGAGGCATTGTTAAATTGATTAAATTGTTACAATGATAAAATTGATACAATTAAAACTATAAGAAACAAACTGACACAAGAAGCAAATTATTGAATTACAAGTGTAATTTTGTCTTAAGAAAATCATGACGGCATTACTCGAATCTCATTAGATATTACTCAATACTTCTGATGCAATTCGACTGATACTCGTCCGTTTGTTTGTCGATACTGTAATTTAAAATGAATGCGAAATTGCATGTATATTTACTTACCTTTGTCGACTTGAAAGAAAGCTTGCTTTCTAGCCTGTATTCATGCATAACCCAGTTGGATTTTTCACCTTTGGGAGCTCTACCTTTGTAAAAAACTAAGGTTTTCTTCATTCCAACCAAGGCGCCGCCATGGAAGATCTCCTTGTCCTTGCCGGTTGTTTTCCAGTAGCCTGCTTCTGTAGCTCTGTTGGTTCTAAGGCCAGTCGGATATTTTCGGTCTCTCAAGCTAAAAAAGTACCATTCCTTCTCTCCCATAGATGCTTTTGCTACACATGCACAATGTATTATGTTTGTATGTAAGAATAGAAGCTTCAAAAACAGCTATTGTAGTTTCTTTCTTAATCTTTATTTTCTTGATGTATCTCTTCCTTCATCAAGTTAATAAAATTATTCTAATTTTTCCAATCAGAAAAAAATATATACAATTACTATATATACATGCCTAGACTCAATTTCTACCAATGCTGAAAGAAAGAAAAAAAAAAAAGTGAAAGTGACCATTGTTTAATCAATTCGAGCTGACAATCAATGGGAATTTTAAAAAAAAAAAAAAAAACTAAAAATCAAAATTCACAATGTATATTTTGAGAAAACTTTAGGAGAATGTCTGCTCATTTTGTTTAGTTTTTTGCAAGCTAATGTTATAGACAATTTGCCAGGTCCAATTGAGAATTAGGGAAGACATTTTTTCAAAATATATTTTTTAAAAGTTTTGCTATGCATAAAGTATGCTAAAGCTGAAATTAGACCAAACTTGAAAAATGCTTCTTTCTGAAAACCTTTGATAAGTCATCTGGATATCAAGTTTTCTTAGAACTTTAAGAAAACCAGCTTAATTTACATACCCCTAACAAAATCAAAGTACAAGCATAAATAAATTGAAAACATAAATTTTTTTGAATAGTGATAGAAAATCTTGCTTTAGATAAAAGAACATGAGATAAAAACCAAAATATATGAATTGAAAACATAAAGAACTTTGAATAAAAGGAAAACCAGGTCCACACTTTTTTTTTTGAACGGCAAGAAAATCTTTATTGATGAAGCATACAAAGTATGAAAAAAACCAAGGTCCACACTTATTGACGATAATTTTTTATAATAGGATAGGGATTTTTTTTTTTTTTCCGTTGATCTTCACATATTTATATAGAAACTTGATAAAGGAAGAAAAAAAATAATTAAAAAAAATTCCAAAGCTACCTGGGAGGTCCCATGGTTCACACTTATTGAGATCAACATCAACAATAGCTCTCGCGGCAAAACTAAAATCAGAAACCTTGTGATTTAGATAGTAAGTTATGAGTTCTTCATCAGTTGGATGAAACCTAAACCCTGGAGGAAGATTTTTTTCCATCTTCGCAACCCCGAGACGAAAAAACAAAAACCAAAACCAAGTTTCTTGATTTTCTTTAATCAGAAAAGCAATCACAACAGAAATAGAGCATGCATGATGCACCAAGTTCACATATTATACTGGTTGCATGCATGTGTGTTCCGTACCCATCTTCAAGAAGAAGCAGCCATTGCTAGTCTTTCTTTAGCTTTATACTCACATCTAACATTTTGACAAAGATGGTGCATGAAAGTACAAAGAAGTAAAATTACTATATTGCCATTAGAGTTTTGGGGTTATTACTAGAAAACCCTTCTTTTGTGTGGCATTTTGAGTGTATGAGTGGTGTGGTATTTGGCTAAATTTTGTAGTGAAGGAGTGGCAAATGATTTTGATGTACTAGGGTTGAGTCCCATTTACACCTTTTGGAGGATATTCTAGTTTGGCATTGTCCAACCACCTTCACCCATTCCTACCCACCAATCCTTGCTATCCTCATCGTTGTCCAATGGCAACATGGTCTCCCTACCATACCTATCAATGTTCAAAAAATATATGGTTTAAATTTAAATTTGATGTGGATTGAATTACATTTAGAATGAATTTTTTAATTCATACATTTTAAATTTTGAGTAATTTCTTAACTAAAACTGTTGTATACAAATGAATTTATTGCCTAATTTTCTAATCACTACTTTTTTGATCGGCAAAGAAAAATTTCATTAACAGCATGAAATTACTTTTTTTTCTAATCACTACTTGTGAAATTACTTGTATCTAAAGGCATTTTATTGTTGTGGAAATAACACTAATCATTAAATTTATTCAATCTTAACTTTCGACTACATTTTTTATAACCATTAAAATTTATAGTTGATTGCCAGCAAGTCCTATTGAATGGACTTGTTTATTCATAAGTCCGAAGTAAATTTTTCATTTTTTGTGTATTTGCTATGTTTTTGATAATGAACAAATTTTGAGATTTTTCATTCGTGTTGTGTATTTGTGAAATGATTATTTAGTATTGGTAATGATAATGTGACATGAGAAATTTATCAAAGTGAGAAATAAATTAAATATTTTGGCTTTTGTTTATGAATTTTGACTTATTTTTAGTTTTTTTGTATTAGCTTGTAATTTTTTCTTTAAAAAAAATTACAATAATAAATTTATCAATAAAGCTAGAATAGGACTTTTTATAAATAAATTTGATCCACAGCACCTACTTTTGTAATTATCTCAAATTTTATTTAATCATAGTACTCAATTGTACCACGAGGACGTTTTTCAAAAACTAATTTATTTTATTTTATACAAATGTATAATATTATTTTCTTAAATATTTTTGTCACTATCTTGTATTTATAATATTTTATTGACACTTGTTAGTTGCCGTCCTCATCTCTCTCCATATGAGTGCATAGTTGCCGTCCTCATCTCTCTCCATATGAGTGCATGTAACTAATTGTATTCGTTAAGCTTGATTTTGTTTAATTTTTTTCACAACTAAAAAATTAATAAAGATTTCTGATATATATATATATATATATATTTTATATGTTTGATATTGGTTGTTAGCATGTTAATATCTTACCTAAATTAACTGTTAGCTTCTTTGGCAGAAGTAATTTGCCAAACTAATATATTGAGTGAATTAAGGTCTCATTTAGGAAAAAATTGTTTTAGTAATTTTTTAACTTTTTAAATAAAATATGAGATAAAAAAATTGTGGAATTACATTCCAGAGGGAGAATTTTTTTTTATTTTTTTATTTTTTTTTTCTTTACATAAACATGAAAGGGTGCAAATCACATTTCTACCCCCACAACCTTTCACTTGCACTTCATCACAAAATCACTTGCATCCCACATGTTTTTGTAATTTTTTTATCTGTCCCACTATTTTGAAATTCCCCCAAAAATAGTAGTATGCTTGGAATATTTTTTGGCTTTTTACGAAAATATATGCAAAAAGTAGAGAGAAATTTTTTTTTTTGACTTTTTTTGTATAGGTTTTTGGTTTTTTAATTTTTTAATGACTATTTAATCTTTAGTCTAAAATTAAATGTTGCCAAACGAGACCTAAGTCTTATCCAGGGTCAACCCTCTCATATAAGGGAATGACTCCTCTCTATACCACTATCTTCTATGTTTCACCATATTCTATTTTATGGGCTTTATTTTATTCTGGACCCACGACGATAATCTAAACAATTCATCTTGTAAATTTTATAATAAAAATCATTTATGCAAAATATCAATTTTATCGGATATCAATGAGTAAATGAACAAATCACATTTTATTTTATAAAATGGGTGATTTAAGTTTAAATTCACAGTTGTTGTCAATTTCAAAAAATAAAATATAATTTATTCATCTATCTAGTGATATCCAATAAAACTAATTTTTTATATAGATGATTTTTTTATGAGGTTTACAAGATGGACGGTGTGGATTATTATTGTGGAGTCGGTTGGAACAAGGTCCATAAAATAGAGTATGGTAAAATGTAAAGGGTAGTTGTACGGAAAAGAGTCATTCCCCTCACATCAAACCATGAAGATCATTTAGATTATGTTTAAATATTGGATTTATAAATAAAAAATATATAGAGAGAAAAAATAAAATGGAAGAAAAAAAGTAAATGAAAATATAAATACTATTACTTTTACAAATTTTTTTTTCCTAATTGTAAATTAAACATCTAAACACGTTATTATAATCGGGTGTAAGATGTTAGTGTGGGGATGTAATTATCCAATGGAATTATTATTGTTAACTTTTTTTTATATAATAATCTTTTTGTGTGTGCTTATGATTGTGATTAATTTAATAGAGAGGCACAAAGATTACTAAGGAGTGGTTAAAAAGGTGACCAACCCCCACGACTGTATGTTTTTTAGCCCTTAGTTTTAATATTAATTAATTAATTCATTGTCTCTGATTTGTCTTTAGAGCCTCCATTTTTTCAATCCTAACAAGAACTTCCATGCAATGCACCGCACCACACCACACCACACCACACCACACCACACATGTCTCCTAAACTAGGCCGGTTTCTAGAATCTCTCTCTCTCTCTCTCCAAATTTTTGTGAATTTTTATTATGATTATTATGTTTTAAAGAAGAAAAAAAATTATTTGTTTATAAAGGTTTTGTCTATGGCAAGTGAACATCCAAGGCTAATCAACAGGACTCAATTGACTACTCTTACACCTTTAATTAAGATATTAGGAGATTGACAATCCATGTGAATTTTTTTTTTTCTTTTTTTGATGTGATTATTTTCATTATTATTCGAGTCTTTTTAGTTGTTTGTGTTTATTTTTTCTTCATTATAAGACTATTTCTTATATTGATGTTTAGTTATACTATCATTCCGAAAAATATTCATAATTTATCATTAATAGTCAAGATTCACTTAAGGTATGACCCGCAACATCAACTTCAAATATACACTACAGATTTGAAAGTACAATTTTGATACCATGGACTTTGATGTTAAGCTTGCCCCATATGATTTATTGGACTTTATGTTTACCAAAACTTTCTTACATATTTATTTGTCCAATTTTATTTAATTCTCATAATATTTGTAAGTATTCTCGCACTGATAGACACAAGTAATATTTTTGGTGCCAAAGCTCTGTTATCACCTAGACCCCGCATTCAATTCAATTGTTAGGAATATATATGGTGCCAAAAATTATACTATTAGAAAAAAATAAAGAGTTATTTACACTAAGCAACATAGAGGGCGACACGTGGACAGACATGGCATTTGAATTATCTCTTCGTTGAATTTCTTTTACAAAATATGTTTCATTTATTATATTTTTCAACAATTGTATTGTATTGGAAAAGAGGTTCTTCCTTCTTTTTTTTCACTCCACCATCAAGGTTGAAATTAAGAAAAGATTATAAGGGGTCATGACTCTCATATTTCTGTAAAAAATTTTATTTGCCAAAACACTTGTGCTCGGGTGAGGCGACTAACCCTTAATTTTGAACAAAATTTAGGACCCCTAATTAGGGGAGTGTATCATGTCCTATTATTTCATAATTTCTTCAATATTAGCTTAATGCAATTGTATTGTATTGTAAACTCAAAAAATATGTTTCCGTTTTGAGTTTTGAGTTTTTTTTTTTTTACCACCTAACACTAGCCACCCCCCGCCACCATTTTTCACCACCGTCTTCCGCCACCACCAGCCACTTGCCACCCACCAGCCACCTGTCACCCACTCGCCACCACCACCACCCGCTACCTTAATAGGCATGTATTGCACACACAAAACGGATTACAACACAAGTAAATATTGTAACTGAATCTACATATTCTTTTTTTTTTTTTTGTGTGTGTTATTCTCATTTTTTGTGTTATTCTCATGTTGACTCCAAAAGCCCCAAGTTTTTACAACAAATGGATAAGAACATGAACTAGAAAAGAAAAAAAATAGCAGATTGTGAGGCACACAAATAGCAGCAGCAAAAAACCACAGCAACAGAGTATTTAAGCAATTGGATGCAAAATTCAGCAGTAAGTTCAAATACAATTCATCTCTTATGCTTGAAATTTGAAGTGCCTTTTAATAGGAATGGCAACGGGCCAGGGCGAGACCGCCGAGGGATTACACTCCCTATCCTTGAACCCCGAAGGTACAAAATTCTCCGTCCCGCCCTCGCCCCCGTCCCCGCCCCCCATCCCCCCCCACCCACCCACCACCCCCCCGCCCCCCCCCCCCCCCACCTGCCATCCGCCACCCACCTGCCATCACCATCCACATCACCATCACCACCACCACCCACTCGTTACCACCCACCACCTGCCACCGTCAGCCACCCACCCACTTGCCACCACCTGCCACCATCCATCACCACCCGCCATCTGCCACCCACTTGCCACCACCACCCGCCACCACCACCACTACCACCCACTTGCTACCATCCACCACCCGCCACCGTCACCTACCCACTTACAACCACCACCCACCCGCTACCACCTACCACCACCCGCTACCTACCACCAACCGTCACCACTTTCCACCATCGTCTTCCGCCGCCACTTGCCACCACTTGCCATTTCTCACTCTTTTTTATATTTTTAAATTTTTTTAAACATTTTGTCAATTACCAAACGCATTTGTAGTTTATATTTTTCTAAAAGTAAACAAAAATCAGTTTAT